TCCTTGACTCTTATTGGCCAAGCATGATAAACTGAGATCATTACGTGGAACGGTGGAAGGTGACTAAGTCCCCAGCTGGCCCGCGCCATGGTGTGATCACGGAATTTGGCACCTCCTACCTGCCCCTTCTTCTTCTTCTTTGAAGTTCTTTCCATTTGTTTCGCCTCTCTTTCGCATGCATCCCCGCGGTTATAAATTCCGAAAGCATCCCCGCGGCTTCATCTCTCATCTTTTTGGACTGAGTGGCCATCACGACGGTGGGCTAACTGACCTAGTTTCGAGTATGAGTGTGAGCCGGCCAAACTTCCGCCAAAGGCCAAATGAGCTGGCACTGATTCTGCGTGGTTGACGTGTCCCAGACGTAAAATAGGCCACACGCCCACAGCCGAACCTCGCTTGCTGATTGGGGCCATTGAGCTAAGAGGAGTGACGATGCAGGAGCTGGTGGGTGAGTGAAAAGGGACTGTCAGCGCCATGATTTATGGCAGCTGTGGTTGTGAGGAGTCTCTTCCTCGGGCAATTTCCGAGAGAGCGAAGGGGTAGTAAGGCTTTGGGACCAACTTCTTCAGTCTATGGTCTCTTCGTCCTCTTGAAGTCCTTCCTTTCAATCTTCATTATCTCAATTGGTTCTTTCATGGTCAAAAGAATGTTACAAAGATGGTGATATTTTTCCCTTTGCGGCCCATTCCTTACCCTCTTGTTTGTTACCATGGGTAATTCTTGACAATTTACCACCACCTAGTACTCCCTGTTGCCACGATGCTCCTCATTGACCAGCAGCACCCGTCCGCCTATGTGACTCCCTAAGCCGCAGGTCCCGCGGCCTCGGCCGCGGCTGAGGAGGCCGGTGGCGACCCAACGGCCGACTTTTCCGCGGCCTCGCCATGCGCAGGTGAAGCCGCGTGCCCAAAATTGGGGCGCGCGCATCGCCTGCGCATGGCGTCCCCCACCTGGCCCACCATAATCAACAAAAAAAAAAAAAAAGTGAAATTTCGTGGGGGTCGTTTTCGGGTGGAAAAAAAAAGAAAAAAACAACAAAGATAACAATTTCTATTTTTTAATGTTCTCTCTCTCTCTCTCTCTCTCTCTCTCTCACACACACACACACACACACACACACACACACACACACAC